CTTTGACACAGGGTTTCATGTGACCACGCTTTCATCTCATTACCTGTATTGTAGTATTTGTTAAATTGTTGTTTCCGGTTTGTTATATAATTGCAGTTTACTTTTTCGTCTTTTTTCATTGTTCACAGTGTTGTCTATTTTTCTTCAACAAATGACCGTCAATTACCCCCTTGGTATTGACTAACCCTTTTCATGTTATTACATTGCGTTTAATTTTATATATGTATGGTAAATAATGATATTACCATAAGCTTTTGTGTTCGTACTTGCAAAAGAAACATCTTGTCCTTTTTCGCAAGAAATTGACCACTTTGTAATGCTGATCTTTGTAAGACAGCATACATACCTGTATATTTGATGAACTTGTCCTCTTTTACATCACATTACAAATTGGCTATCAATCATCTGCATTATTCCAACATGAAAATAAATGCATATATTTAATCAAAGTGAGTGAAGATATATCTTGATTTTTCATTTGAATTTTCGAAGCTGTTTATACTTTTTGTAGGATTTCCATGATTTTGTCAAATGTAAAGAGCATTTCATACTATTTAATACAAAACTTTGATCAAATGTCATAAAAGGAATAAAATACTGCGAAACGTTTCCCACATAGATTTTTCATTCGAAAAGGCACCCAAAACTGACTCTCTGCTGAGGGTGGCAACTAATTTCTGATATTGTTGACGAGTATATATTGACAATATATCCAGCAGGTAAATTCTATCAAGTAATTATCAGAAAATTATCAAAGATATAAAAAAGGGGGGAGTACAAAAGCATGGCAAAAACAATGAACGACGAAAAGACAAAAATAGTCTACAAAAAAACTGAGAACTTAGCAAAAAAAAGGCCATGGGTAAAACATAGTTTATAATACTGTTATAATGGTTATATGTACAGGAATTGACCCTTTCCTGACAAGAGTGCCAATAAGATTTTAAGTTGTTTTGATTAGATTAGCAATTAGCATTTTCGTTTACCCTGAATTTTATAGTGCATTAGTTTTACTTATTTCACCTCTAATTGGCAGTTTACTAACTTTTGAAAGAATATTTATGTACCTTCCACTTACATGATTCAGCACATTATTTCATTGTAAAGCTTCTTAAAATTTCTAAAGTATATTAAAAATCTAGTGTGCATTTTGGGTTTATGAACATGCCATCTTGAAAATTTATACATATAAAATCCTAATTGTTTATTTATAAATACATACTGCTGTTTTCAATGTTTCCTTTAATTGAAAGTGTTAGTTAAACGAATAAGATTAAGAATCAATTCAAAACAAACTCATCCGGTTTATAATTTTGGAAAGGGGAAGGTTACCGCATCAAAGGTACCAGCCCATTAGTCAGCACTTCTGTGTTGTTTTATTATTGGTATGGTTATAATTGGAAATTAATGTTTTACAAGACTCCAGGAATAGATGGCCGTAGCTGTATTTCACATACCCTTAATGAATTTAGAATCCTAATTGTTTATTCATAAATACATACTGCTGTTTTCAATGTTTCCTTTAATTGAAAGTGTTAGTTAAACGAATGAGATATAGAATCAATTCAAAACAAACTCATCCGGTTTATAATTTTGGAAAGGGGAAGGTTACCGCATCAAAGGTACCAGCCCATTAGTCAGCACTTCTGTGTTGTATTATTATTGGTATGGTTATAATTGGAAATTAATGTTTTACAAGACTCCAGGAATAGATGGCCGTAGCTGTATTTCACATACCCTTAATGAATTTAGGTTCAGTCATGATCATAGGAGACATCTGTATGTTGAGCATGTGTTCAGAACTGTCTTTCGTTCGAATGGCAGTCATTTTGAAAAAAACAATTTACGATTTAAAAATATGCAGTTATGAATACATCTACTTTTTGAAAGATTTGATTGAAATTCATGACAAGCAACTTTCGCAGCAATGTCTATTTTAATTTAGCGCCCTTTAATACATATTTTGTTTGTTTATATCAATACATATATTTAGGTCCCCCTGCCGGTAGACTGTTGGTCCTCAGCAGGACTTTCGGCTTTCTAGCTAAGTATATAATGAAGCTAGTATTTTGGAACGTCAATGGTTTAACTGAAGTATTTTGAACGGTGTTTATGCTCCTTCAGTTGTGTTTATTTTTTTATATTTGACAAAGCATATATGGTCACAATAAATATTTTTTAATTGTATCATACGTACGTTTATATTATATTTGAACTCACCATAAATGCTTTCTTAAAAGATAAGTGTTTTCATGTTAATTATTTTGTGTAATTTTAACTTTTTTTTGCTTGCTCAAGTATCGACAGACGTGAAGTTTTAAACATTGTTAAACATGTTTAAGAACATTTATATTATATATATGGATAATTTTGACTTGGATGGAGATTTGTCTCATTGGCACTCATACCACATCTTCTTATATCTATAGGATGTTTTCTTTGTTTGCTTTTAGAAGCAATAAATGTTCTTGAACATGTCATTTCCACAAAAGGCAGCGATTTTGATGAAAGACAATCATTCCTATATTACATCACCAATAATTGAATACATAAACAGTATTTCGAAATAAAGGTTCAAAATATTGGCAGAAAGGAAAATTTGATCAAAAGGGAGTAAGACCTATCCATTTCGTCGTTTACAGATATCTGCACATATGAAAAAGGCAAACAATTCAAACTTATTGAAACAAATGCAAAGTTGGATTTATTCTGCTTGGAGGTTTAAGTGGTTTAGTTATTGGTAATAGATAAGGGATATTCAAAGCTAATAATATGTAGAGGAACTGACAACGCCCTGTCAATATATTTATACATAAAAGAATTAAAAACAAATTGTACAGAGAGAGAAAAATTGAAGTCTTTCCACTTTACCTTTCAATAATAAAGGATTAGATTTAAAAAAAAAACGGTGTAAGAAGATGTCACTTCTGGTTCATATGATTGGTCCTTACAAACTGATTTTAAAAATATAATGTTTCTAGGTACTTTTCAATAAAATTAGTTTATAAATTGTAACTTCCGGTTGACATTTTAAAGTCATATGACTTCCAACCTAATGCAAAAGACCTAATGGTTTTATAATGAATTTTAGCAAAGGTAAAAAAATCTAGAACATCAAATTGATCAATGACCTTGACCTCATTTTCAAGGTCAAAGGACATGGGTCTCAAATCGAAAGACCCCCAGGTCATGCCTGTAAAGGGGTTGAAGTTGTGCCATCAAGTGAACAATTTTTGGGCAAAAGCTCCTCTCATGAACTGTAACGGTTTCTTTGGAATAAAGATAACAAGCAAAGTTAAAATTAGAAACATGATCTCGACATTTGGCTTTGACCTCAATATCCTCCTTATGGACCAAGGACTTCATATCAAAAGATTTTAAGTTTCAATGACTTCTGATGTATGAAATTATTCAACATATCACATATGTTAAATTTGGAAAGAGATGTAACTCACAGAAGATGTAATTTGATTCTTTTGGTTAGACTTAACCAAAGCATCATTAACAGAAGACAAACAATTTGAAAAAAAGTATATTTTGTCAATATCTTTTACGGTTGCAGAAAAATAAAGATAACCAGAAAAAGACGGCGTGGGCGAGATAACTCCTATTAGAAAAATGCACTGTTACACAGTTTCGATGGTGAAATCGTAATCACTGTACGATATTATGGACCAAAAATCCTTTCGATATGCCAAGTAACAAAAAATAAAAAAATCTCAGACGGCAGAAGAAAACAAATATGAAAAAATTAAAAACCAATTGTTCAGAGAACAATTGAAGGTATTTACACCTCAACTCCGATAATAAAAAATTAAATTTAAAACACTTCTGGTTCATATGATTTGTTGTTTCAAACGGATTCTGAAAAGGTAAGGGTTCTGTGTACTTTTTCTTTACATTACTGTGACAATGGCTACTTCCGGTTAAAATAATGTCACTTCCGGTTGACCTTTTTGAGGGTCTTATGTCTACCACTCTTATGCAAAAGACTTAATGGTTTTATAATGAAACAGAATGATTTGTTTGCAAAAGTCAAAACCTAGAACGTCATATTGACCTTTGACCTTGTCCTCAATTTCAAGGTCAGTGATCTCAAATCGAAAAATTTCAGGTCATCAAGTTGTATGGTTGAAGAGTTTTACTGATTTCAAATACATAATTGGAGACAAGTTCTTTACAGGATCACCGAAACACTTAAATGGGTTGAAATAAAACCTCAGTTGATACGATATTCCAGGGCTTGTATTTAATTTCCTATCAATTTTTCTTGATAGAGGGTTGCTGCTCACAAGGAAGTTATTAAATCAAGAGTTTAAAGTGGGTAAGTTGAAAGCATTCCTTCGTAAATTTACGGACGCCATCACGAGTTGTTTGACAGTTATGGAATATTTGTTTCACAGATGACAACAGATATGTTCCAATTGTCATAGCTGCTATCTTGTCCACTATCCCTTGAATATGACCTACTGATATAGACATATTAACGGGTTTTTACTTGCATGAGCAAAACGACGGGTGCCAAATGTGAAGCAGGATCTGCTTTCCCTTTCCGGAACACCTCCGATCACCCCCAGAATTTAGTTGGCCTGGCTTCGTGTTGCTCAGTCTTTGGTTTTCTATGTTGTGTTTTGTGTACTGTTGTTTGTTTATCTTTTTCTTTTTTAGCCATAGCGTTGTCAGTTTTAGTTTCGACTTATGAGTTTGAATGTCCTTTTTCATCATAAAATGAAAAACACTTCAAAAACAAACACTATATATATCTATAGTTGCAAACTCTTTCATAGTTGTAAACGTCTAAGTCATTTGATCTCTGATTGAGAGCTGTCTCATTGATTTTCATAGCACATCTTCTTATTTTCATACTTACAAACCGTTCGATGGAATGGAATTTTCAATTATCAATTTTAAATATAAAAATCAAAATGATAAGGACTTATAAAACATGAATTGATTATCCAATCAAACATGAGCATTCGACTTCAAGCATAACACATTAAGAAAATTAACAACTGATTTTAATAGAATTACTATTCGCAGATAAATCCTGCCAAGGAGGAGACGCAATAATCGTCATAGAGGTTATAACGATCAGGAACATAGAGTATCAAACAGTCTCGTGGGCTACCAAAAGATCCGTTTGGTTGTCCTGCAGCGAATGCAAAGTAATTCATCTTGGTCATCTCTCCATTCCGAATCCATCTCCAATTTCCATCAGAAATGTATCTGCTAATGTTACGTCCACCAATGAAAAACCTATAACAGTTTTATACAAATGTAAAAATTATTAAATTACAGGTCTTTAGAACATATGGAATACATATCACAATAAACGGTTCGCGCCTTCATTGCCGCATAGTTGTGATTTCAATTCAAAAAGTTAGACATCTGCCACATTAAAAGAAAGTAAGAGATGACAAGGGTAAATACTTTAATAAGGTTACCACTAAATCATTTCTTTGGAAAATATTTAAACATATCACGCAAGGTTAACACTCGTGTAATACAATTATGCCTTCCTTTCATACATGTACTGTTATTTAAACTGATACGTTGTGTTTTATACATGAAGTTATCTTTAAATACACTTGGACGAATGACGCGAGTTAAATTTCAGCACGTACATTTAAAAAGAAGAAAAAAATCATGAATAAAACAAAGAAAACAATTAAACTCCTTGAAAAAAACCAACTATTAACACGTTCTCTTTGATGCTGTTTAACGCAACTTACAGCAATCTTGGTTACATCGTTTTCCCTCATTTACAGATGTTAATTATTCGACTCTACAACTGGTTGACCATGCTGCATAAACATTGTGGAAAAAGAAATATAAAGAATGCATATGAGACACTCTTTCCTTTTGAAAACAACACGCTTTTAAAAACATACGTCCTCATATGGGAATGGTTTAAAGGTCTTCAATGATTGACCTGATAAATCAATTTTATCTGAGTTCGAGAAATACCTTGTATTCAATAGAGGCTATTGTCTTGGATTCAATTTACCACATGTTTATTTTCAGTTAATGCCTAACCTTCTTTCAAGAAAACGATAATAGCGGATTTCACTTTTTTTGAATAAGAACTACTACAAAAGTAACATTGTTAACTCATAGCCACGTTTGACATATCGATTTAGCACAGAGGAAATCGTTTCTAATATTATCATTATTTTATTTATATCATTATCATTACTTAAATATACACTTACAGAATTTGAACGACATAAGAGGGGAAAGGAACGGAGACACCACGAAAACCGATGATAGGTCGCTTAGCAACACGGAAAAGTGAGCAATAACTATGTTTTGAAATATCTATCGTGAACAAATTATTTTGTTAAACTCTCCAAGCAAACAATGACAAATGTGTACTATTTTCCATGTTTGTAAAAACGAAACATATCAACTGCATAAATTACAAAGGCAAATTTACCTGTTTTCATCCTTTTTAATTCACGTTTTTTCAACAGCAGTTCATCTAAGGTCCCAAATACGGTCAAGTGTGCACGATGCCTTGAACACATTGTCTTAGAATAATAATAAAATAAGTGTTCTTACTACACATTGCTGGTGCATAACTCTGAATAGTTAAAGATCATTTAAATTTACTTATAATTTATCAATAACCAACCTTCTTTTTTGTATTAGATTATAAGCATGATAAGTGATGTTAATTGGAAGCGGAAAAGTAAAAATGTTAAAAATGTATAAAGAAATAAAAATTTGTGAAAATAAAGAGTATTTGGAAATGTAATTCAAGTGAGGCACATAGACAAACACACACACAATCTACATATAACATACAAAGGCAGTATCCCGTGTCTTTATTTATAAGGTAGGAACTCTTTCCAATTTTCCGGTAGGGATAACTGCAAGCATCTGTTTGTAAACAGAAAAGAGTTATATACCCCGCATTAAATAAACTAAGTGACGTTCGAATCTGACACGTTAAAAAGACAAAATAAAAAACGAAGTTAAAGAGCTTCAAACGTTGTCTACAAAGGTGTCAAAAGACTTGTCTGCCATCAAGTAACAGAAAACATTAAATCGGAATGAGGATAATAAAAAAGAAAACAAACACAGAAACCATTAACACTAACCCTTTTGATATGGAAAAAATGATCTAAATAATTGTGTAATTAAAAAAAAATGAAATAATCCTTTGATCGACTCAACCGAAATTCGTGTAAATCAGAGAAAACAACAAGATGATATCTTAAGTATTCAACATATAGAGGAGTATATAAAGATGCGTTTAAAACAGGAAAATAATGTGAATTTATCTTAAAGTTCTCTTCATGTTTAAACCATTGACTATAAACATACTTACTTTGTCGTTTAAAGATTAAATGTAAAAACAGCGTGGCGTGACAAGATTTTAAGTAAGACATACCTGCATGATTGTAGACTACATGTAACCCACAAAAGTCAAAAACGCAAAATGTAATAGCAAAAATACTGAACAGGAGGAAAGTCTAGAAATCAAAAAAAATTTGCATATACATGTATGTTAATATTGTGTCAATTCTGATATCAAATTTAAATTTGTGGGAACAGATGTGTAAAATCGATCTAATGATAGGCGATTCTTGAAAGCAACTTGCTCCGTGTTGAAGGCCGTACCTTGGCCTATAATGGTTTACTTTTATAAATCGTAACTTGGATGGGGAGTTGTCTCATTGGCACTCATACCACATCTTCCTATATCTATTGATTATTCAAAGCTGCTTCACAATGAGTCGTGTGACAAACATGTTAGTGTTGTTATCGAGATAATACAAATTTAAATTTTTCCGATATTGACCTAATATTGTATACATATTTTGCTATAATATCGATCCTGCTACATTTAATTCTATTTTTGTAACTAGTTAATAAAACTGTGATACCATATCAAAAAAGTATGTTACTCCAATTCAATCTGTCTACAGTAAAGTTTGAGATATACAGGTGGCCTTAGTTTTAAAGTTAATGGATGTAGTCAAGTCTTTAATTTGTAATCATATGTCTGTCAATGAAAGATATGTACAGAACTTACTTTCCCAGTATATATTTGGATTCACAGGTATTCTGTTTAGTAAAGAATATTCAAGTAAGAGTTGTGCAAACTGATTTCAGTATAATAAGTTAATATCAATTCCATTTGATCATGGTGCTTAGTCCTGTGTTTACATTTTTATTTTGTTCATGCATTAATGTTTAAGTGTTGACAAATAACTAATCACTTATGGTTTATAGATTTCCAAATTTTTAACTGTAAAAAAAAAAACATTTATGAGAGCTTAATGCATGAGGGTCTGGATGAAGTTTTCTCATTTCATTATTCTTTATTTTTTGTGGCATGTTTAAAATTGAAGATGGAAACGGGGAATATTTCAAAGGGGCCAGTTGAAGCATGCCTCCGGGTGCGGGGATTTCTTGCTGTGTTGAAGACCCTTTGGTGGCCTTGGAATGTTTTCTCCTCTTTGGTCGGGTTCTTGTTTCTTTGGGACATTCCCCGTTTTCATCCTCAATTTTAGGCAACAATACATACACACGAAAATTACATACATTGTCCAAACCTTTCAAAAGAAAGATATTCAATCATTACCTTAATCAATTCCGAGATGACTGAATTTAAATGTTTTATCAATTAAATGAATAAATAAAATGGGGTTTCTTTCAAGTTATATAAATATTATACATTGCTTTGGTATGCAATGTAGATAAATACACCAATGCTTATAAGGTAAGTGTTGACAAGCTCTTGTCAATAAATATCATTAATATTACTAAATTTAAGGCACAATATGCGCAATTTGATAATTAATACCTCTTCATTGATGCTTGAGTCAAAAATATTTGAAAATAAAAAAAATATTAGAAAAGGAAGATATCATAAAAAAAGGACAATGTTTATAACAAAAACTTGGCAAGGAATCAAACGCTTTTAAGAAATATTTCATACTTGCTACTTGGCTAGTGATACTCCTTGGGACTAACAATCCATCATTAGAGGCATCGACACAGTAGTAGTAACAATAACAACGGTACCAGTTTTACAGTACTAGATGCGAATTACGTCATTTAGAACTAATGCACGAAGGCAAAATGTTGGAAAATCCAATATGAAGAGCTTGTTAATCAAATACGACAACAAATCTATTTCAAAGCCCGAAAATGAATCAGAGATTTTCATGAGGGCAATATATTTTTTAATTTAAAAATATTTTCTAAATTTTGTAACAGCAACTTTTAAACTTACTATACAATATATATTTTGCCCCATGTTGAAGATCGGACGTTGACTAATGATTATAATTATCCTCATCATTTGGTTTCTGTATGTTGTCTCATTGGCAACTGCACTATATCTCCTTAGTGTAATATGTATCCCCTTTGAAACGTTTAAACGTTAAAAGACGATTCAATAAAGACAACGCAATGAAAATTCCATACAAGTATCAGTCGTTTTCCCACGATCTGTTTACCCTTCCGGAGTACCTGAAATCACCCCCGGTTTTTATGGGTTCGTGTTGCTCAGTCATAGTTTTCTATACTGTATTTTATATACTGTTGTTTATCTGTTTTTTGTTTATTTGTCATGGCATTGTCAGTTTGTTTTCGATTTATCAGTTTGAATATCCCTTTTGTATTTTCGGTTCTCTTTTTTATCATCAGCTAAAACATTTTGTAGTTTTTAAAATATTTATTTGCGCAATATATATATTTGAAAAGTAACAATAATTTCGTACACGGATGTTGTGTTACACTTATTCCTAAATTGCAGTTCATTTTGTAGATTCCATTTCAATATCTGTGTCTACAGCTTCTACACACAGATCCATTGTCATTGTCAACATCGACGCATGGTATGTCATTAATCACATCTGTTATAGGACACAGTGGTGGTCTGTTACAACCTAAGGCTAAAATAGAATTAGATGATACAGAGCTATGTACTAGTATATGAACAACGGCAAATGAATATGATTGAGCTATTAAAATGTTCACCAAGTGTTAATTAAAGAAAGACAGGTCATTCAATATGGCAAATCCGTTCCGTGGATTAATAGAAGTCAAAACTTTGACCTTTAATTGTTTACGTTTTGCACATTGTGACTTGCATGGATAGTTGTATCATTGGCACTTACACCACCTCTTCTTATTTATATATACAATGCATATTTCAAACCGTGTTCTTATAGATATCGAACATGAATTCAATTATGATCAGTACAGCCAGAGGAACATTTCACAGTGTTCACTTGTTTGAAAGTTTGGGGTGAGTTGTGTCTCGTTAACGATCACCCAACATTCCTTTATATAAACAGTTTTTGTAGTTTTATCCAAATTTGTCTTGGATAGATACTGTTTTTACATAAATATATCGGAATATATTCCATTACATTAATACGCAACACCACGAATGGAGTAAACGATTATGAACTGTCTGTATGAGATGATCGCTCTATCAGGAGAGTACTGTATATGTACTTATTTTCGCGGTGTATTTATTTTCACGAATTTCGCGTTAGGTATATTTTCGCGAAAATAAATACACGCGAATTCGAATGCAGATTTCTTGCATATAAAAACCATTGAATAAATATCGCTGGAATTTACAACTGTATATGCATGTTCACCTTGTTGGCTTCAGATAACCCCAATTGAACCATGAAACTGTTAAAACAACACCAGTTATTTTTACAGAAATTTAATTTAGAATAAAAGGACAAAAGGTGAAAAATAATATCCCAAGCTAAATATGACAGCTATATTAAGTTATTAACGATTTAATCAGGTTATTAAACATCTATCAAAACACAGGACTGATTTTATGATTGAATAATCTTTGTTTATTTTGTTTCATATTGTCAAATAAATGGAGACCTAATTAATAAAATTTTATGAATTTTAAGTTTGTAATTCATGTTCTGATATTTTGGAAATACCGCGAAATTAAATACACGCGAATTCATCGACAACAACAAAATCGCGAAATAAGTACTCGCGTAAAAAAGTACATATACAGTATTTATTTATATAATCTTTTTTTTTATTGAAGTTCACGATGAAAAACGCGTATAATACTTGACAATTTACTGTTTTGGTTTCTTAATTCTAAATATGTCAAGGGAGATAAACTGTTTACTGGGACAGAATAGCAGGAACTGAAAAATTTAAGAATAAAAGTATTCAATACGCACAGACGAATTGAAATTGCATGACAAAGCTAAGACTTCAATTATCTTTACCCTTGGTACGTTTATTTATTCAATTTACATCTCCAAAACCTGTGTCTAACTGTTTCTTTTATCTCTTAAAGTTAAGATTTTTATAACATGTATAAGACATGTCACATATTTCTCCACTATTTGCAAAGATTAACGATTGATTTGATCCAGATGGTAATTTGCCCGTAAATCGTAAACTGTAACTATTTATGAAACTGTCGCATATCTTTAACATAGTCATGATAGTCTTACGACTTATTTCACGATTTACCACTTTTTGTGAAACGAATAAAAGAAACACGAGCTATAGTGATCTTCTTCGGTAAGTAAATATTAGTTTCAATGTATGAGATGATATTCAAATGCTTACGTTACTTGCATACTGTTGGTCTTTGCATATTCAGGACTTACACATGAGCTACGTATGCTTCACGAAAAAGATCTTACGTGAGTTTTACTGAAATGTGCATGACTTACGAGTTTTCTTTTTTTATTCTAAAGATTTTTTTATGAAAAGTCGCTCATTTTTGCGAATAGAATAATCGTCAATGTCCAAACATAAAATAGCTGCGAATTTATACATCCACAGCTTAACGGATGCTCCATTAACCTGCATCTGTTTTACCGTACTACGAGAGAAAAAGCAAACCATAATTTCACATGACAGTTAAGTTTTCTTGTTATTGAAAAGGACAAAAATGTTAATATTAGCACTGCATTATGTTAAGGTATCAATTCACAAGATTAAATACATATTATGAAGTATATATAACTTACGTGCCGAAATCACTGTTAAAAAAGAAATTGATTATAATTTAAGTAATGTATAACAAGAATGCTTCATTAATCTTAAATGTCTGTAATTAATGATAAACTAACAACGCATAAAGAGTTATCCCTTGTAAAATGATATTGAATTGACAAGTATGAAAATTTTCGATCTCAAGGATTCTTATAAATTTTTGTATGTATCCTTAAAATAACTAAAAAAGTAAAAAACAAAATTGTCGAAGTACAAGGAAAGAACGGAAAGTCCCTTATCAAATGGCAAAATCAAAACCTCAAACCTACGATGATATTCCTGGCTTGGTACAGGCATTTCTTTATGTAGAAAATGGTGGATTAAACCTTGGTTTTGTAGCTATCTAAACCTCTCACTTGTATGACAGGTGCATAAAGTCATATTAATATAGGATATTTGAATACACAGTGTTATTGAAATCCTTTTGAAGACAGCAAATTTTATAAATATAACAAATATGTATCTCGAAATCCTACCCTGCAAAAGTTATATGTTCTAGATACTGAAATATCCGTTTTATTAATATGAAATAGGAAGGGGTAACCGACTTGGTTTTGCAGGTATTCATAGTTAAAAAAGAGACAAAAGGCACACGTAACGTGACGTCATGACTGCAGTATATATTTCGAAATGTTATTTCCCCACGTTTTATGATGTAACATAATCAATTCAATGATTTACATAATACTAAAACACGTAAAGTTTAGTAGCAATACATATTGTTGCATTTCAGGTTTAATTAAAATTCGTATGACAGGTATTGAAGAGAAAGAAATTAAAAATAAACATGTGTTTGCGATAATAACGTTCATCCAATTAAACCTTTACTTTTTTTCTACAGAATATTCAGTATGCCATATCTCAAACAGTATAAAAGTAACCCAACAGGTTGCTTTTATCCTTCAGGATAGCATATTTGTGTAACCTTTTCAATATTCATGTGTATTCTAGGATCTGGCAAAATTTCACAAAAATCTATGAGATCGCCCATGTTCGTACCTGTTAGCTCAATGTTGAGGTACTGATGACTGCTGTTTCTCAATAGTGTTGGACATAGCGATATCAATATCTTAAAACAACTATCGGAAATTATTTGCCTATACGTTTTAATGCGTTTTGATAATCTGTTGAATTTGTTTGTTTTCTAAAAATTCTTCGACACATACACACTTATGGAGTTATAATGAACAAGACATGTTTCTAGTATAATTTGTCAAATAAATGGTTAAATGTTTTATTTTTTTCATTATGATGTTTTTTTAAATAAATGATTCCTCGTATTGTGAAATGCTAGTGTTTGTTTTAATGCATGAATGACAATTAAGATGTCGTTATTATTTCATAATTATATACAAGTTGATATTAGAGGACAACAATTTGATTTCGCGGCGAAGGGGAAGGGAGCAGCAGGATGATTTACGTAATCAAATAAGAACAAAAAATGAACAATCGTGCCACAATCAGATTAATTATAATCTTTTAGTAGTATTTGTTTGAAGTTTGAAATATATTAAATTGTAATATTGTGTATATAGTCAGGATATAGAAGTAATTTATTAAACAAACAATGCAAGGTTCATGACGTAGCAAATAGAAACATAATTCTGTAAAAATGTATTTTTGAAAAAACAGTACGCCGGGGAGCCCTTGTCATTTTGTATTGAGACCCCTTTCTGTTGAAAATACTATTTTGAAATATTTTTTCAAGATAACATTGTTTGTCTGTTTGATTTCCTCCTGATATTTTTACTTACTTTGTTTTGCACTCCCGTCTGAAAAAAAAACCATATGTTTCTTTATTCTAATTTTACTGGCAGACAGAACAATTGATTATACTTATATATAAATGATCAATCCATTTCTAATGTTTCGAAAATAGACCTCCACTTAAATATAAACTGAACGAAGTTATAAAGTTTGTATAGATAAACATTCTCTCCGACCACATTTTCAAAGAACTTTCATAATACATCAACACTCATTTTAAGTATTTCGGGATTATGATTATCTCGATAAACCTGAAAAAGAACAGTTGCTAAATATCGAAGGTCAATATAACGAGGATAGAAAGACAATACATTGCTGAAAGTAAGAAAAGCTTAGATGAAAAACAAAAGTGCATTTTTTATCAATTCTAAATACCAGAGGAACGCGAAGACTCCGGAGGAAAATGACGTTAAATTTTTAACACAAGATATATTTACTAGGAATTTTGGACATTCTGATAATAGTTATATCAACTTAATTATAATTAATTAGAGATGTACCACTTTCTTAAACGTTATAATATGGATGTACTGAAAATGTACTTGCAACTTTATATCATCAATTTACACAAAAATGATACAACTTTCGGGTAGATGGTTGAATGAATTATCTGCATCATGTGCAACTGAGAGCAAATGTTTAAAACAACAAAGACAATAGAATTCCTATACGAATAATTCTAAAACAGAACAGATATAATGTTTGTCAACCTTTTATGTTTTCCTTGATTGTGACATCACCGAAAACGACTCATCAGCGACTTTTGTCTACCCACGAGTAACATAACGAGTGCAACTAATAGAGAAGGATCCCATCAACATTCTTAGGGACATAAGATAATCTTAGTTTGTAGTTGGGTTCGTGTTGTTTAGTCTTTACTCTTGTATGTAATGTTAAGTGAATTTAGGGGTCTTTTCGTCGCGTTTATTTTTTTATGGCGTTGTCAGTTTCTTTAGACTTATGAGTTTAAATTTTCCCCTTGGTATATTCCGCATCGTGTTCTTTTTACGGAAACATAAAATTCACATAGATAATATTTTATTCGTGGGATCATAATTTTTCATAGCAATTTAATGTTTACTATATAATATATTATATTATCAAAAGCCTGAAGTAGGCACAAAATACGAAATGTGCGATGACTCCTATGTGTAAAAAGCATTGAAACGGTTTGTAATGGTTGCCATTGACTAGATATTCTTTAGAAAAACGATGCTTTGTCCAATGTATTGTGGGATAGTTTCAATAAATCATATTTATTTAGCCATCAATATTTGAATAAAATGGAATACCATGATTTATTTTGTAAAAACAGTTTGAGTAAGATTGTTTTTTGATGATTTTTCCCTTGTTTGTTCTGTAATGCAACAAAGAAGGTTTAAGGTTATACTTACAATTTTGACCTCTTCCTATGTAATAAAAAATGAGAACAATAAAACTATGGTATATTAATATTTTCCAGTTAATTCGACAAATTGTAGTTTGAGTACGACAGCTATTTTTGCTAATTACAATTAAAGTATTGTTAACCGTTTAACGTACAGGGAATAACAAGTAAATTATACAAAAAAGTACAAAAACTTTCGAAAAAAGTTGATAATAAACAACAATACAGTATTAACGTAAAATACAGTAAATACTTTCTTTTTCATATTAACAACGTTCGAATTATTATCTTTTTCCAAATCAAAACTAGCAGTTTTGCGTGGTTTCAATGGACATTTTTTCTTATTTTTCCCAAATTATCGGGACTCAAAATAAGACATGTTGACATGGTTGAGCCTTAAATCTTTTTTTGTATAACATTATTTGACTGTGTATGAAAACAGAAAATACGTTTTAATATAAATTTATTGAATAAAGTATATTTACCGCGAAAAATGAACGGGGAAAAACTTCCGGAACAAACGTCACAAATGGATGGCTCTGTCAAAAATGTCTCTGAAAGCAATATATACAACAGTTTAAAATAATATTGGTGTAAATTTATTTGTATAGATCTTTTCAAATAATTAAAATTAATTTGTTTGAGTTTTTTATCGTTAAGTTTTGATTCTAAAACTATTTCATGGCTTTGACATTGACATAGTCTCAAGTTTCTGAAATATTTTCATTATCTAGCAATGGTGCTGATGGACTGCTACTCTGCGAGGGTATCGCCATCTTAGTTAAAAGTGCTTCGGTACTCACATGATTCATAACAAACATTGCTTTTTTTCATTCTTTTACAAATCATTAAAATTCATCCAAACTTTGTTGTGGTTACCTCAGTAGCTCTGGAGAGCATACTTATGATCCCTGCGTTACAATATCACTCGTGTGCAGGGAACACATGTGATATATAATGTCCACTTTATCATTACAATCACAAATATTGTAATTTTTTTATAATCTTTAAACTATACAACTTATATAATTTTAAATTAAGAAAATAGTAAAGAACACGCAATACAGTTATTCATCATGTTCATACATCCTCGGCTTTGGGCGTTCCTGATGAAGGTAAATCCAGAAAAGCGCTTCGGACTCATGAAATTATTTAACGAGTTGTTTTCATTTTTATTTCATTAGACCACCCGTTTACAAAGCTACACATGTCTTCAAAAAGGTAAATTGTAAATAAGTTAAAGTGCACTCCTATATTTTGTAAAAACTGTGTAAGAAAAGTTTTGTATCATAGGCCGTGCAGGCAGTTCTTCAATACTGGCATGAAAATATGGCTATTGTTTTATTCATATTGAAAAAAAAAGTAAAATCACAAAAATACTGAACTCCGAGGAAAATTTAATCGGAAAGTCCCTAATCACATGGCAAAATCAAATGACAAAACACATCAAACGAATGGACAACAACTGTCATATTCCTGACTTGGTACAGGCATTTTCAAATGTAGAAAATGGTGGATTGAACCTGGTTTTATAGCGCTAAACCTCTCACTTGTACGACAGTATTATCAAATTCCGTTATATTTACAACGATGCGTGAACAAAACAGACATTATAAATAAAATAGTCAAAATATGGGTACAGCAGTCATCACTGTGTTACAATATCAAAAAAAAAAAAAAAAAAAAAAAAAAAAAAAAAAAAAAAACAATTATTTACAAAAAAGAACAAAAGCATCTATCAAATTAAAAACCACATTCATTGCTTCGCGTGTCTGACGTCAGAAAATGTTAACGTCACATAAGAAGAAAATTTGTCATTCAATGTTTATTCAAAACAATGTTATTATTTCACATGTGGAACAGTTATGAAATATTTATATTCCTCTTGCATAGCTCTGCTTTGTTGTCTAAATTTGAATTAATGTTTATATGATTCTTTTTTGTTTGTATCAGTTCTTTATTGTTTGAATTAGGTTTGGGATTTTCAAAATGTTTTGGTCTTTAAGATCAATAATGAGACATTAATTGACAAAATAAGTCCCGGTATAGTAGAATTGGTATCGTTAATGATATTGAAGAGATAATCGCCAAAGTTTTTATAATTGAATTTATAGATATGTTAACTAAAACACACTCTTGACCTAGTAATTCCATATCTATTCGATAGCAATTCTTTCTAAATTCCTCCGATTATAAATACATAAAGATATTTTTAAACTTAAAAGCCATCTCTTTCAGGCACGACTGCCCTTAGAATCAAGTAATATTTTCATTATTGTGTAAGTTTTACCAGCAACACATGCTGTTTACACTTAAAAGTTCGCCCCATAGATTATTTTTACAAAGTATTATTGTTAGCATGTTATCTGTTTGCCTGACCCGCCTGACTGATTGTCGTGAAAAAGTAAGAAGAGATCTAATTTGTTAATTGGATAAAAGGTCAGGCTATCTGATAATTGTATTTATCGTTGGAGATTGTTTTTCATGAGTCAGGTTTTTTAGTTAATATGTACTGTTGTGCCGTCCAGCGTTTACTAGTAAATGGTTCCAAATTCAATTTTGAATGATTTAAGTCGCAGAAGGACGTTCAAAGTATTTGGAAAAATGGAAATATTCATGAAGACAAATTTTTGGAATAAAGGCAGACATTTGGTTATCTAACAATGCTACCAACCAAAGTTCACAAAAGCACACACGCACAAAATATTCTACAAAAGACTACGCACTGAGCACCATGAATCTCATTCATTACTGAGTGTAAAGTTTCAAGATTATTTAGGGATCATGATAATTTGGAAAAATTAATCAGAACGGATTTACAACTTGCTAAATAATGTGGCTTCTTACTTAAGAAGAGTAACTGAATACCGTACAGCACATGCATTTAGCATTTGCTTTTTGGGGTTCATATTATTGATTTAATTATGTTAATTTCGATATTACGTGAGTATTTTTGTGTCTTTTCTAGTTATATTTTTTGTTTGCTTTTATTAATGGATATTTTTGATTGTGCGTTTTATCTTCATCCTTTCCGTAGTAAACGTCGCTACACTACTTACTAAACACAAACAAGGAAGTTTGGTGACAATACAAATGCCTGCAAGGTATACCTTTAAACAATTATTTAATTATTCCTTATATCATTTATGTTTGTTTTAAACCTAAGCATACGATATATTGATACATGGAAAAGGCAGATATCTCTGTATCTGAAATGAGGCTTCAATGATGTATCAATTGCAAAAAACGTTACACAGTTTTGTCTGCTTGATTCCAAAAATGTTCACGCTAATCTATTATGCCTTTTTGGGTGCTCACAATTTTTTTCAATATAACGTAACTATAAACAATTGTCTTACAAAGTCGAGGTTTAACTAGCTATAAAACCAGGTTTTACCAGCCATTTTCTTGGGAAAGTCTGGAAAATGGCAGTGTTTTTTTTTAAATTGTCCCGTTTATTTTTATTGACTTCTTCTTTTTGAATTTGCCTTGGAATTTGGCATTTTGGTTATACTTTTTTATCGATGGGCAAACGAATCCTGCTATGCATGCATCATAAAATTACTCACTAGCTTGGGGAGCATAGGCAAGGGATATTCTGGCTTTACTGTTATAAGCAACATATTTTACGCACCGGTATGTATTTCCCGATCTGTAAAAATAAAAGAACAAACTGTAACCATTCATACATTTTTTTTTATCAAAATACAGAAATACAGAAAATACATATTGTTGTGATTTGAGGCAAATCAATAAATCCGTAGCTCGGATTTCTGCATTGAAAATAATGATAAGTCTTTTTTTAGTTTGACTGGACTAGAAAATGACGACTGAAACTATCTAGTATTAAGTTAGAAATATGAGCCGTGAAGTACGTTCAATATTGATTTGTTGGCCTTTCTTGATTTGTTTGTCAATTTCTGACTCTTGTTTTTCTCTGCACATCCATTAATGCGCCTTATATCTTCAATGCGTTTTTCGTCGTAGAATTTATCATATCATTTGATATCAATTTACTTTGTTCCTTAATTACTAATCGATTACTCGAAATCATTGAGGAGGTTAAGGTTTGAAATACAAATTAAAGCAGTTATATTATAAATATAAAAAAAGGTTATGGACACCTTGTTTATTACCTGTCTTTTTCAAAAGTATACAGAATTATCTTAACCAACCGGAAAGCAGTCACCGCGTTTTTTAAAAGTTGGTTCAAAACTCATGTTTGTTGTTTTTCTTCACAAACATGTTCGAAATGTCTACTTATGATTGCTAAATCATGTAGCAGAGATCATAGTTCTTTTCATAACCTATAAGTTTCTCTGAAGTGAGACTTCAAAACTTTCGACATTAAACACACTTTTCTTACGTATTCTACCTTTAGGCCACTCTTGTCATGTAGGAAATTAAATCTTAAAGGATTATCTCCCTTTTTACATATCTCAGATGATTTTAAATTTTAAAAGTAAAAATAATCTGATGTCGTAAATGCAAACGTCTCATAAAGGATCTAACTTGGAATAAAAATGTATTTTCTTCACACTGCAAAAAAGGATATAAATAAATCGTTTGATGGTAGTTTCGTGCTTATTATTGCAATTACAGCTCATCAAACATATTAGGTTCCCATTTCAGTATACCTGCTACGATATATTCTACTTTATGTTTATCAGTGGAAATCATATCAAAATATATTGAAGGGGAAAAAACAACATTACTAAACAGTACTGTAAATGTACTTAATCATATGCACTCAAAAAAGATCTATTTACACTACCGTCCCAGTAGTCAAACTAGTTTAACCCCGCCACATTCTGTATGTATCTGTCCCAAATCAAGAACTTGTAATTCAGTGGTTGTCTTTTGTTGCTGCGTTGCATATTTATTTTTTGTTCATTATTTTGTACATAAATTAGGCCGTTAGTTTTCTCGTTTGAATTGTTTTACATTTGTCATTTCGAGGCCTTTTATAGCTGACTATACGGTATGGTCTTTGCTCATTGTTGAATGCCGTACGATGACCTATAGTTGTTCACTTCTGTGTCATTTGGTCTCTTGTGGAGAGTTGTCTCATTGGCAATCATACCACATCTTCTTATTTTTATATATCAACGATATTTCACGTCCCAATAATAGTGCTTGGCACTTGACGCAATTCAAGCGTCACTAATGAGTCTTTTGAAAACGAAACGTGCGTCTGGCGTACAAAATTATAAGCCTGGTATCTATGATGAGTTTTTTTCTATCTACACAATTAGGTTATCAGTGAATAAGATTTTTGGTTTCTCCTTTCTTAGTTTGGAACATTAAATATAGATGGACAGTTACATATTCTTGAGCCATCTTCAAATCTTCTTTTTAATATGAAAGATCTGAAAGAATCAAAAAGTCTTCAATCCTTTCAAAATTACTGTGGATTAATTACTATTCGTGGAAGCCAATTTTCGTAGATGTCGTATGTAAAGATAAACCGCAATTTTAAATAATAAAAAAATACAAATTTTCTATAGGCTTCCAGGCAAACTTTGGGAAAACCACGAAATTAGATATTCCCCAAAAATGCATGTTTTCCTATATCCACGAAACTTGGTGTCTACGAAAATAAAAGGATCAACAGTCGGTATTATGATCACTTTATAAGCACTTTAGATCAGAAATGTGAGTTGCAACGTAACTTTGACGTAAAGAATCTTAATTTATCATATTATTAAAAAGAACATTTGAATCTTAGAATTTGATTTATTTATTTATGAGTCAAAGCCTGTTCCAGGAAGATATCTCAAACCTATAAAGACTTCTTTTCGATAAAGACAAAGATCATGTTTAAGAAACAATAGCATGGTATTAAAATAAGAATATCTCAGCAGATTTTGGAAATTTGCATGAAATTTTAAAAGGTTGATGCCCTAAACGAATCATTTAAGACAGAACATGAAAATATAGATACTGATATATTACAAATAAAATCATCATAGATACTAGGCTTACAGATTTGTACGCAAGATCTAGACGCGCGTATGTCTTCGAAACATCTGAAGGTTGTTATTTAGTAGATGCAAGCATTGGCTTGATTATACATATTACTCTATTTGGTGGAATTCACAAACAGACGTGTGAAAAAGGTAATGAAAAGATATCTTATCTTTATCTGCAAATCGTATTTGCAAAAATTGAATATCGTACCTTGTTACAAGAAATGGTCCACGTCTTGCGTAACATGACCTTTCTTCCATACCATTCACTGTTACAATTGACGTATTTGAACACGAAAAAGCCAAGGTAGTTGTGTCACTAACCCAAGTTCCTACATCAAAGCGGAAACATGGGAAAGTACAGTGTGGACCCGCACTCGCTAAAAAATAAAAATAAAAAAAGATCAGCAAATTATCTATCAAGAGTTTTCAAACCAGATGACATTATGACAATCTAACATTGTATTTCTTTTGGGCCATATACGACCTTTATACCTCCAGACTAGTATATATATATCACGTTATAGTATGCATTGTCTGCTAGGTGTTGGTCAACATGTTTCAGATACTGTTTTCACTTGTTTGATAGTAGCTCAGTGATTGAATACACAAACGGAATTATACAAACCCACACTAATTTTTAAGACTAGTACACATTTCAACGTTAACACTCATATTAGTAATCGTGTGAGGTACTTTATCGGTTATAACAATAGCTAATGCAATCCATAACAACTAAACAGAACTAGAAATTTGTTACTTTTCTAAACTAATCAAATATGCTTGAAAAAAAAACTGTTGTAGGGCTATTTTTGAACCGATTTTGATTGCAAATTTGTCTCTTTGTTTTTTTTTTCTTTACACTGATTAAGACTAAACATTAGAAGGTGTTAGGACTACTTTTATGACCCGTAGAATATAAGGACAAGTAAGAAGTTTAGAAACTCGTTAGCAGTTATATGAAACATATCTTTTTTTTGTTTGTTTGTTTTAAAAAACATGTTTTTCTATTTCAAAAATTAGATTGTGTCTTCTATATCAATTCAAAACTTTAAGACCTTATATGATTTGATTTTTGACTTTTTATTGTACAACCATTTATCGGAAGTTAAAACTAAACGAAACGCTAGACCACGGTTCGGGTATGTACGGCTCACTAGTGGCGCTCGAATAAAAAGAGTTGACGGCAAAATCAAATACAAAGTTAAAGGACATTAAAAAAAAACGATTCGAACAGTTGTGTCACAACGTCTTATGTTGTTTTGGCTTAAAATAACCTTATTCTTGGAAAAAAAAAATAAACATCTGATTAAAAGTAAATTTATAGAAAATGAACTTTTGTCATGTCAATATAAAAGTGTAGACGACTGGGCCAGTGATAACATCGCAACAAAACGTCCACTAGTAATGGCATCATAAAACACATAGAAAAAAACAGACTAATTATTTTGAACGTCGTCACGCGTTTCGTGTACATAAGTCTCCTTGATGGCGCTCGAATTTTTAAAACCGTTTTTGAAGGAGGAATCAAATACGAAGTTGAAAAGCATGGAAACCCGAAACATTCCGAAAAGCATGGCAACCCAAAACATTCCGAAAAATTGTGTAAACAAGTAGAACAATGATGACTATGTTCGTTTAAATGTCTTCTGTTATCACTTGATATACTTTCACATTTCAGTTTATCTATTTCATATTGAAATTGATAATGGAGCAGAACAAATAACAAACCTGCCCCGAAACATACGAAAAGAAGCAAGATACTTGCTAACGTCTTTGCCATGATTCCTTTAATTCTGGAAAAAAAAATAACACACTAAATCATGATCAATTAATAAATTATTATTGATTTTTCGTTTCAAAACTTTCAATAATATATATTACTGGTTTGAATCCCGCCGAGGGAAGAAAAAAAATTTAGTAACAAAACTTTGCAGGCAACATTATTGGGCTAAATTTAAGGCGAATTATATTTAACTTATGGTGTTAGCTCTGTATAACCACTGTTTATCCGATGAAAAAGAACACAATACAAAACACAAAATAGAAAACTAAAGACTGAGCAACAAGAACATCACCAAAAACCGGGGGTGATCTCAAGTTTTCTAGAAAGGTAAGCAGATCCAGTTTATGTGACCCGCGCCGTGAAGAAAGGTTTGCTGTTCAAACAAATCAAATGATCGTGACATCACGCAATAGCGGATTGGTAATTGGTTTCCATCTAACACTTAGACATCACAAATATGTTAACTATATAATAGGAAATACCTACTTATTTCCCTTATTTTTAGCAAAAGTATATAAAAACCATGTATTTTCGGAATCAGTATAGAGTAAGTTATTATCTGATCCAAGAATTGACATTTTACATCAAAATGGTATATTTTCTCTCTAGATATGTCTATTTGTGGTGGAAAGACCTAGAAAACAATTGGTTTTTAATTAGTATTATTATTATTCTTTCTCCGCCAAACTTTAACGACATTTCCCAAAAAAAGTACGATACATGTTGAAATGATATTAGGTATCATGTATCGGTTGATCAAAAGCTATCTTGTGGTTAGAGCACCACGAAATAACATTTCCTTTATAATAGCGGTTATCCCCCTACACCGAAAACCTTTTTATCGCTTGTCATTGTTATTAATAAATGTAATGGCAGTATTACAAATCTTATCTTGAATCAATCCTAATCCTATCGTATTTTTGGGAAATATTTTTACAAATTCAAATGTGACGTCACTTTGTGTGTTTTTTTAGAATTTCAAATGTGACGTCACTTTGTGCGTTGAGGCTTTGGCTAACTTGGCTGTGTATTTTTATGTGTTGGATTAAGTTGTTTTATGTAATGTATCCGTTTTTATTCTGTAGTTAGTCCCCACTTTTTTTATCATGTATATCTATTATATCATGTATATCTATTATATAGTCATTTTATCAAATTTACTGTTTGCAAGATTATAAATTGTCCTAAATAATAAGGATGTTCTTGTCCCAGGCAGAAAACCCTGGCCGTGTAAGGCGCAACTTTTTGGAAGTTTTGGTCCTCGGTGCTCGTCAGCTTTGTACTTGTTTTGGCTTTCAAACTTTTTTCATCTGAGCGTCACTAGTTGGTCTTGTGTGGACGAGAGGCACGTCTGGCGTATTGAATTTTAAGCCTAGTACTTTTTGTTAGCTATTATTCGTGTGTTTCTTTGTCCTGTATGTTCTCCCATTTATTTGTATTGTGGTCCTGTCATGTGATGTTGTCGTTTTGGTGTTGTGTTTGACGTTGCCATAAAAGCGGGAGGTTTGGCATGCCACAAAACCAGGTTCAACCCACAATTTTTTTTATTAAAATGTCCTGTACCAAGTCAGGAAAATGGCCATTGTTATATTATAGTTCGTTTCTGTGTGTGTTACATTTTAATGTTGTGTTTTTGTTGTGTCGTTGTTCTCCTCTTATATTTGATGCGTTTCCCTCAGTTTTAGTTTGTAACCCGGATTTGTTTTCATCCCTATCGATTTATGAGTTTCGAACAGCGGTATACTACTGCTGCCTTTATTCCTCCGAAACCGTATGAGATATCGATAATTTTTTTTTTAAATTGTTCCTGGGGACATGGCGCAACTTTGTTACATTTAAATCGAAGTTATCTGTTGACTTGTAATATGAGTTATCTCCCCTTAAATATTTGACGTTAGTGGTGTGTTGCTAAATCTCATAAACCGTAAGTCGTAAAGGCCTGGAACCTTTTGATTTGAGGTCCTTGATACATGACCTTGAAATTGAGATCAAGTTCAAAGGTCAAGGTCATGACCTAGATTTTGACCTTAGCTTGTTATCGAAATTACTCGATAACTGTAAAAGATGGCTGATTAAATGTAATGGAGAAAATGTGTGTCTTATAGAGATCTACATTTGTTATATTGATCCAAAATTATTGGACCAGCCGTTATGGACCTAAGGCCCCAAAACCTAAAGTTGTAACCCTGTAACACTTTCTGGAGAGAAAACCTTCACAAATATTGTAAATAATTCTAATATGTAATCTTTTCCCAAAAGCTGCTTTTATAAACTGTACTTTGTAATGTCTAACAGGCAACTTTTTTACTGTTTTGTATAATATTTTTTATAAATGTTGTGCAATCAGTCTTATATCACTGTATAATATGGACTCGTATTTAGGATGATCTATCAATGTTATCTATTAATGTTCTACTATAAACTAATATCTCAGGTTGGACTACAAATATATCAATAAATACTGATGTACTGTAAGTCCAGGTTATTTAAATCGATATGTGATCTGACAGTGGAACTAAAAAGTCGTGGTTATGTACCCTTAGACCTAAATCATAAGTGAACACTCTAATAACTATAAACTAAGTTCTATTTATAATGACCTAGGGTTGTTTTCTAAATATGGTAAAAGAAGTAGCTATCCTATCAACCATACACACTAATAAAACAATTTTTGTGCTTTATAGTACCAAAAATCAGTCTCAAATAGTGTCAATTTAACAAAACAGGAAAAAGGAAAGACCTTTCAATTGCTCATGAACAATTGACTTTTAATTGTATTTATATTCATTTTCAAATTTTCAAACTAGATAGGAATCCTGTTAAAACCTTTAATATTATGATGAAGGCATTCCATTTGTCAATTAATTTTTCATATATTATGTAAAAAAATATCTTTTACAAGCATGTCTTAAATTCGTGATCTATGCATTACCTTTTTGTTTAATCCTTTGAGTACTAATTGTATGTGTGTTTAATGGTCATTCTGATATCCCGTTTCAATTATGAAATGTAATCAAGCAGACTTCTTGATTAAAGTATCACTAGTAGCTAAATTTCAGTCTGAAACGGTCATATTGGTCTGATCAAGTCTGAATCGACTGAATTTATCGCGAGAGAAAAACGTCAAGACTTTTTCAGACAGATCGATAGTCCCATCAGGTAATTCAGTCCGTTAGAGCATGTCAGGATAAACAAGACTGAGTTTTCTAGCGAGCGATTAAGATTTGTTGAGACGGTTTCAGACGAAATCAGACCATGGATACAAAATTACGTAAAGATGTTGTTAGACCGTGTTCAGTCGTGTTCAGATTTTAATAATTGGGATACAAAACGGATGAAACTTACCCAGTGTATATCAGGGATTGCTCCCCTTTAAAAAATAAAATCGAAAACTTAGAGATGACGTTCTTTTATCTCTAAGTGATGTTTTTTTAAATGTATTTCATTAAATATCCTTTTATCCTTCAATTTTTTTTTCTACGTAATTATTAAACATTTTTTTTTTAAATAAGTTTTACTGGTTCTTGTTCAAAGTGATATGTGATACGATAAAGTAAAGTGAATATATCTGGGACTATTATACCAATTCATAGTATAAAAGTCCCAGAAAATATATACAATTTAAACATATTTGAAAATGTATTTCACCGTTGTGAGTGTTCGTGTGTTTTAATATACGGGCGTTGATACAGGTAGCTATTTAGATATAACTTTTCAATTTGTTTGCTTGTTTGCTTGGTCGAGCTTGCTGATTATTTATTAATTAAATTGTTTGTCTGTAAGGAGACCATAACACGGATAGTATTTAAAAAATGATTGGCACTTGAAAAAACAGTTTTCAAGTTCTTCAACAACTTTTAATCTAAACAAAGTTTTAATCTTTTAATATTTAGGTTTCATAGTTACATTACATCTATAGAAAAAAAAAAAACTAAAGTTCAAAATTAAAATAGAGCACATGATTCATTCGAAGATATTTTACGCGATTGCTGATGTGGTAGCACCCGCGGGGTTTCGAATAACTATTGAGCACGCCATTCTTGTCGCTGACGCCGATCGACGTCTTGTTATTTGCATTGGAAATGAAAAAGGACAAACCCGGTACGATATATATATATATATATATAACCATTTATTTTGTAGTCATTGTAGTTTTATCGATGCCAGTCTTTTTATAGCATAATAAGTTAACTGCAAGGTTTGTGGTTGAAGAGGCGCTTACATATATATCCTTTATACTGTGGCAATCATACAACTTTCATCTCCTTATTTTATTCACTTGTTAAAGGAAGCTGAAATTTTAACAATTATTAAAAATCCAGTGCAAGTTTTGGAATTTGAAAGAAAACCATACGTTAGGCTGTTAGGTGGATATACGGCCAGTGCATGTTATGATGTAAGTATTGTCAGGTTGTCAGGAATGGGTCCAGCCATTTCTAAAAAGGGGGGGGGGTGGTTGCAACCATATGTCTCCATTAAAAAGCATTGATTGCCCGAGGCGGAGAATCTAAAAAAAAGAGGGGTTCCGCCACTGATTGTCATTTGTGCATGTTGTGATTTCTTATTATACGTTTCATCTTTATAGAACTTAACAAATATTGTGGTTTCATTTCTGAACAGATTTTCAATCAACTTAGTGCAAGAAAGCATAATTGTCATAGGCTTAATTTTTCATTTGGTTATAATTTTGTTCTGAAGCTTTTTCATTTTCTGTTGTCAGTTATAAACATGCATTTTAATTGTTTGTTCATAAATCCACCCCCCCGCCCCCCGCCCCCAGCACCCCCCCCCCCCGCCGACCCTTTCCCACAAAAAATGATTGGATTGGAATTGTCTAAATTATAATCCTTAATAAAATGCTATTGTACTTTTAGAAGACATATTTTATAACATAATCTTGGACTAATTTATTAATACATGTATCTATTAGTCAGTCCAAGCATACAGTAATATATGACGGTATATTTTCCTGTTTCAATTACCATGGATTGGTCAACATTGATGAGAATATGAATGGGGTTAACAAAAAAGAGAATAATGGGACAAAACATATAGATAACAGAATAAAGGGGTGATGAAATATAAAGAATAGATTGATTGATCGTTGGTTGTATAACGTCCAATGGCAAATAATTCCTGCATGTTAAGGACGAATATAAAAGAGACCAATTGGCAGAAGAATAAAGATATAGAATGAAATGGTAAAACATTAAAAGATATAGAACTATAGAAACGATGATCTGACACCCCAACCATTACCACCCACACTCGAATATATACATCTCTAAATGAATATTTAATTTTGGTTTCATGGTGCCTCCACCCAGACATCAATGTTCTGGATCCACCCCTGACAATACAGGGGTTTCTAACTAGGACTATTACACTAACTAATAGTATAATAGTGCCAGTTTCTTAATAACATACATTTAAGCTAGGAGAACCCACATGTTTATTTACACACTTTATGAACTTGCATAATCTTTTAGCTCTGACTAGTCGTTAAATTTGCTCATCAATGTTCTAAACTTTAGTTTATTAACACGAGCCAAATAGCACTGTCATTAAAAATGGACATTCTATCAGATAATGAAATTCGTCTCAAATGCTACCAATATTACAATGATGACATTTTCGATCAATTATATTAACAGTATTCCACCTCTCTGTCTCTACTGTATATAATATATTGTTATGTATATGGCGAGACTTTAATATACTATTGAATCTCTATTGGATGTATGTGGTTTGTGGATCTATATCTACATAAAGTAATACTTTCGTGCAGATCCAAGATATTATTAACTAATTAATTGTTCACATCAATGGTGTTTGTCTAGGAACGGAATCGATCAACACGTTTAAAAAATCAAAATTTTGTTTATTACAGTCATTTAATAATCATTCACTGTTGAATTGACACGTCTACATTCACCTTTTGTCATTATTAGAACGATTTTATCAAGTTTTAATTACATAAAGACATAGGTCTAGGCTTTCCAGAACAAGCATTGATTTACATAGTCGTAAAATTTCATATCGTTTATAGACAGTCAAATTTAATAAGTACTTAATGCCTTTAATAAATCTATCACAAATCTTTCACGCCAATGCTGTTGACTTTACCAAGGATTTGTATAGTAGGAAATTACTATACAAATCCTTGACTTTACTGAGTTTTGTCAATACATTCAGCTTTTCATTTTGTATCCTTGGCTAACGAAGATGAAGTGCATCCGGACAATAAATAAATAAATAAATAAGTTATTAAATGAATAAATAAATAAAATAAAATAAATAAAATAAATAAAATAAATAAAATAAATAAAATAAATAAAATAAATAAAATAAATAAAATAAATAAATAGTGTTTAACACATTTTATGGAAACTTAAATTTATTTCAGCAAATTGCTGTTGAAGGTATATTAAACAAACTTTCGAACTGTACAGTTTTTTTTACATTTAAATATTGTACCGAAAAACTATACATTAAAAGAAATAATGTGTTTCCGAAAGACAAGATATAAAAATAAACTGCTTCCTTCGGAATTTTGGGATTTACTTTAAACAGCTATCTTCCAATCTTTTTAATGACTACTAAAAATTGCGGTTTTGCAATAAATTCAGGTATAGATTTGTCATTTGTAGTGTGTAGAAAGAAACAATAATATTATATTGTTTGAACCTTAAACTACACATACTGAGCTATGATATTATGATAGGTGTAATTGTAAAATGGTCATGTAATTGTCAATCTTCGTTCATGCGTTATGGATCATTGATTTTATTACCTGTTGACCTGGTGGAATACAAGCACGTGCCAATGATATAACACCAGAACATTAAAATTACTCCTAGGATTTGTATAGTAAGAAGAATTGGAATCTCGTGGGTTATTGTTTTATCTTACTATATAAATCCTTGCACTAAAACTACTATGGTACTGAAAAATGAATTAGAATATATTGTTTAAATGAAAAGCTCTATCCGATGGTATTTTATTCATAATTTTTAATACTGTCTCATCACGGGCAAAGTGCAGTTTCAGAAGCTTAATGCACTAAGGCGGACTTTGTGGCGTTTATATGCGCCACTGTGTCACTTTGAAATAAATAATTGTTTAGAAATATATTGTAGAATACCAGCTAAGTAAATAGAAACTTCAGTGGTGGATCCAGAAATTTTCATAACGTCCACCTTACTTGCAATAAGGCGGATAGTTCTCTCATTGGCAATCATAAATCTCCTTATTTTTATATTGTCAAGTTTAAAATTTCCAGTTACGTTTTTGCAAAAACGATAATGAAGTACCATACTCATTTTATTTGGGATAACGACTACATTTTTTACCTGCCAGGTTAACAACATTTTAGGGTTAAGTGTATAACATACATGTTTTGTAAGTAACGACTGCATTGAAAACCGATTTCTCCATGCAATACATGCAATTTCCGTTTATTGCAAATCTGTTGTCATACGGTAATTTTTATAACCCTTAGAAAATATACATGTATAAATTCTTTATCATGAAATACAGGTTTCAGCAAATAATAGTAAACTTTAATTCGCCGATGTACAATTAATAAATTAATAAATTAATAAACTAACATTAATAAGAAAAATGAAACAAGCAATATTTATAGACGAATAAGTTATTAATTAATTCCTCATCAAACAACAACAGAAATAAATAATCAACATAGGATTTTCCTTCTTTAATCATTAGAATGTTACGTTTTTAAATATGGAATATATTTCTTTTTTTTTTAAAAGTATCATCAAGCAAAAGGGGCGTTACTCGTAGTATCATACTAGCATACTGAACGGATCTAATCACGGTCTGACAAATTTGAAAGTTAATTTTTAGGTTTGGTCTGATTTCGTCTGAAACCATCTAAACAGATCTTAATCGCTCGCTAGAACACTCCGTCTTGTTTATCTTGATATGCCTTAACAGACTGAATTACCTAATTGGAGTATCGATAGGAACGGCGTCTGAAAGTCTCAAAAAGCCTTGACGTTTTTCTCTCGCGGTAAATTCAGTCGATTAAGGCTAGATCAGACCAAAATGACCGTTTCAGACTGAAATCTTGCTACTATGTTTCATCAAGTTTTTAATTCAGTGAGAGTCAGGCAGTCGACTGCGTTTGTAAATTTTTATGTATTTCTTTCTGGAACTATCAAATTGTTAAACACTGCTTTTGACTTGTGTCTAATTATATCAGTGGAATTGAAATTAGCTTTCTCGGGCAAGTGACTAGGTCTTAGTCACTATCTATTGCTGGCATAATCAACATCTGCAATCGGTCGTGATGCATCTCGTTATCGTCGCAATTCTTGTAGCCATTCTTGCGGTTACTCGAGACAAAAATATCTGAAACTCCAAAAACCTTAGCAACGCTAGTGATGGTTTACAAATGACGTCATTACATACTCACTCACTATTCGAGATATACATGTATCAGCTGTGTAGCTTAAGATCTAACATTATCACAAAGAAAATCACAGGGAAATTAATGGAAATGGCGAAAACAATCAATAATCATTTCTCATGCTTCTAACTATTAACACAAAAATTAATTGATAGTATTATCATATTATTCGCCTGCAATTTTGACAGAAATAATGTGTTACTTACGTACGTACGATTCAGCTTTTACATTAGAACATGTTGTTCTCGACGTCTTTATTTATACGTTTTCATGTCAAAGACCATATAGGCTTATACATGTCATCTTTGTTTTCTAAAGACACATTCGAATTATAAACACGATTCAGATGTCTGGTTGTTTTTCTTTAAAAAATATGATTTAAATCAAGAACATGTTATTCATCTTTCATGACATTTTAACAATTAGAAAACAAGGATTTTGATTGTAATAAGATTTAAGGAAAATGTTTGTTTTTTGTTTACCCTTTTACATTTTACAATTAGGAGATTGTTTTTGGTAAACAGTGCGTGAACCGATTAGTTATATATAATGAGTTTTAACATTCCCAACAAACGTTTGAAATAAAAACTATCAATATTCCTTAAGACGAACCGCTTGAGTTTTGAAATTTTTCGTGTAATTGGCAATCAATCAATTAGAAACATAGTTATTTCTCAAACAAAATAATAAGAAACGTTCACGGATTGACAGCTACAGTTAAAATGAAACCTCCAAAATCATAGCACATGAAAAGATAGACCTACAGAAAAAAGATCACATAGATAAAAGTTCATCAATTACATTGAACATAACATCGAGTTACACGGAAGTCGACAAAGGAGTGAAAATTGCATAAACATCAATGCCAGGACTCACAAAAATTAAATACATATCAAAACAACATTACTGAAAATAGTCAACAACAACTGACGTTTAAGCAGCATCAATATAATAAACCGAAACAACGGAAATGAACTCGTATGGTTGGGAAAACACTCAACCAAAAAATGGTTCATAATTCAAAATGGTTTGGAAGAAAAAGCAGGTAATTTCTCAAGGTGTGGAGTACCTTAGCTGAAATGTATTTGGCAAAATCTGTTTGTCATCAATGCTCTTTAACTTCGTACTTTATTTGGCCTTTTTCACTTTTTTGATTCGAGCGTCACTAATGAGTCTTCTGTAGTCTGGCGTAAAAAACCTAAATCCGAGCATCTATGATGACTTTGTGTCCGCAATTGACAGATACTGTGTAGCTTAATTTGTTTTCAGAACCCTTTCACACACATTTCTGATACTAAGAGATCAATCTGCAGATGTCTTTTCGGGTATTCTGTTTCCGCCGAGGAGACCGGCGGGGCGCCCTGATTACTTCGTTTTCCACCACCTTAATAACAGACTTTCCGGTGTTCTAACACTACCTTGGTATTGGGTTGGGGACTGTACGTGGTGGTTTGTTGAATATGAGTAGTGACAATTCTTTATTAATCCTGATAGGGAGTGTACACGAATCACACTGTACCCTGGCTTCTCTTGAGGGGACTTCACATAACGGAAGAAATTCACGTAAAAAATTATACATAAAACAAGGCATCCCATGATGCAAATCGGTGAACGTATTTTATTTTATATAACCAAGATTTGCATTGTTTTCATGAACATATATTTTATTTCATGAAAACATATTTTGATTTATTCTGTTCATATTTTGTTTTTGTGAATACTAATCTAATGTCTATGGACAATTATTTGGTTTTATGAACATATATTTATTTTCTGTAATCCAATATTTTTGTTTTGAATATATATTTATCTTTTACGCATTTATATTTCATTTTATGTACATATTTTAAATTTTATGAATGTGTTTAAAATTTGTTTTTGGAGCACATATTTAATTTCTATGGAAAATAGTTTATTTTTATGAACATATATTTCATTTTTTGGTGATGTTGCAATGTTTGACACGCAATACCTGACAATATTGTTGGCGAAACACTTAATGTTATATTATAGTTGATAGTTATAACGTTTCCTCAGTCATGTTTGTCTGTCTTCCTCGTTTTAAAGAAATACTGCAAATGTTATATACAAAAATGTATCCCATTCTTATTCAGTTTAAATTTATCTTTTTTAATTTTATGATTTTTTTATTTATAACTTTTACGCCAGACCAAGTTGTGCCATTATTCGCATTTACAATTTTTTTTCTCAAACATCACTGAAGAGACATTTATTGTCGAAATGCGCATCTAGTACAGTATATTTTAGTCAAATACATATTTGTTAAAAATCGTTTCCTCATCAACTTTTTTCTACACTCATTTGCAAGCAAAAATGCATTTATGCTCATTCAGTATGGCCATGTGAATAAGATATTTTTTCAGATTTAATATATGTGTGACGTATCACTATTACTGTGACTCAAAGAGCTTTTTCATTTTGATTGATTCCCTCGCGAGTTTATGAATCATTCGTAGTTATGCAGCCTATCCGTCTTGTGTATGTGTTAGATAAACAATCATGTTGTCACATATCAGCTAAAAAGATAGATAGGGCTTTCAAATAGTTGTATTGTTCCCTTTACAATACATTACATATTATACAAAACATATTTTAAAATTCATAAAAGAAATATACCAAAGGGACATTTAAACTCATTTGTCGAAAATAAACTGACAACACCAAGGTTAAAAACGAAAAATACAAAAACAAAAAACAAAAAACAAAAAACTTAAAGAAAAAGCATACAAAACACAACTGAAAAAGACTGAGCAACATCATAACATAAAACATTGTACAAAGAACCAAAAATGAAATTGACAAATAATTCTGTTCCAGGGGATACATTAAAGATTTGTTATGTCCGTAAAAACCGGATTTACGTTTAATGATAAGTCAATTTTACTTATGAATATGGGGTAGTAAAAATGACATGGACCTGATCGAGCATGTATATTCTGACAGAGTACAAAAAATAAAATCCTGTATGTATTTGCAATGATTCCTATATTTGAAAGTGGTTGTTAATCGAATAAGATTAAGGATCAATGTTTAGACCAGTATATATCTGCACGAATGAATAACAAGTCACATATGAAATTCTTTCCTTTATACAATGTTATCGGGACTACTTCAGTCCTTCCGTTTCATAGTTCTGTAATCAGGTTCAGTCTATAAAGATTTCAAGAAATAGTGTCAATCTATGCCTTTTGTATGAGACTGTCATACAAGTTGGAGGTTTGTCTAGTTATTAGATCAGGTTTTATCCACCATTATCTAGATAAGGAATTGTCTGTACTAAGTCAGCAATATGACAGTTGTTTTTCATTCGGTTGATGTGTTTTAACTTTTGATTTTGCCAATTGATAAGAGACTTGCCCTTTCAATTTCCCTTGGTATTTTTGTTACTGTTCTTTCTTTTTAACAGTGAACACGTTGGAAATAAATGTTAGATCTATATTAACATCAAAGATGCAGTCAAATAAGAAAAAGATCATACCACAAAAAAGGTTGCATCATGTGAAGCACTTGCCATCAACCTGGTTTCATAACGAGATCTGATGACAACATCTACCTTGAATTAAGGCGACAGTATTTTATCGAAATTCAAATCACGTTAATCAATAAGGAATAGACAAGCTATGGTAACAAGTGCAAACTGAGGGAATCTTACGAACCAGATATGAGCAGGCCGGGTATATCGATAGGGTTGGCGCTACCTGCTATGAATGTATCACCGGTCATGTTAATTCGCACTTACAAACAATATTAGAATCGGAAATAGGATACAATCGGTTAAATAAAAAAAAAATGTGACGACTATATTGGTCACTAAAGAACTAAGATCGCGAAAGGAAACGCAAACGCATCGTATTTGTCAATCTACTGGTAATGGTGATCGTGAAATATTCGATGAAGCGGAGGGTAACTAACTGCAAATAAATGGTATAGCATTGTCCAGAAGAACAATGATGATCTCAAATTCATATAACAACATTTTTTTCCGTTTTTGATAATTAAATTGACAACCTTATTCTGTATGTTTGGATTTGCCATGCGTTCTGTCTACTATCTTTCTAAATAGTTGATATATTTACTTCTAATAGTATGATAGGTGAGCTTGACTGAAAAGGAAAGTAGTAGCTATAAAATAAATGAAATGGTATGAAAATTGTAAATATGATTTGTTGAAATTTTAATTTGAGGCAGACCTTAAAAAAAAAAGAACCCGCCACTGTTTTTAATTTTTTTAATCTGGAATCAAATTTTGAATAATACTGTCATATCATATATCCACGATTAAAATAAAGAAGAAGTATGACGTAAATAAATATATTGTTTTTGCAGGGTAATATCTTGTTACCGTTTGCTGCAATGATTTGTGCTACTACATCCATTGATGTGTCTCGTATAAGTTGCAAGTACATGGCAGTTTATATTTTGTTCCACGGTGTTCTTTTTTCAATGCAGGGTATATTATAGTATGTAGTAAATTAAATGACGATTTGTTTGATTTGAATGTGTAATAGAAAAGAATGATCTCACATATCAGAGGTTTGACCTGCGGTATGGTACACTTGATAATATTATTCTCTGTACACCTTTTTTTAATGTAGTCATCTCTATAATAGAAAAGATAAACATTCATTCAAAAATATTGTTTTAGCATAATTATATGTGTCGATATCTTTATACTTGTTTTGTCACCATCAATAAATTTAAAAGGGTTATATACATGATATGGACCCTATCATAAATGTATCAGGGAGTTAAAAGATAGGAATGCTTATTAATTATTTAAATTTCTGACAATTATTAAATGACAGACTCTGTGTTGGTATATATATGTCACTTATGATAATCATTATTCTCATTTGTTTGTCATTTCCTCCACTTAAAGATATATGTATATTTATATACGTATATGCAATATGTATCTTGCTATTTGTTGTCCATAATTTTCAATCTTTCTATATGCATTTGGAATAACATATTTCTGGTTTTGTTTTCAATATTTTCCATGAATATTTCACAGTTATCAAACAGCTCCTTATATTTTGAACAGTCTTTTAGCAATTGTACTATCGCAGTTTTGTTCATGAAGGTGCAGTTCCATTTTGCTGGTTTGATTTTATCAGATATCTCTTTTCTTATATCAAGGAAATATTTTTCTCTCGTAGTACTAAGTATGGAACAGGTTGTCAGGAAATGATTTATGTCTTCATTGTCAGTTTAACATAATCGGCATATTGGTTCTACTGTATAGTGAGTGAATTTATGTTGGTCTGCCTGAAGTATGTATGTTCCAGTTA